AGGAATTTTCCCTTTCCCTGTCTATTTTGGTGCTAAGAAATCGTAAGGGATATGAAATGCTACCTTCTTTTATGGGGCTTTGTACTTAATTCTCCTTTTTTAGATTTGAGTAAACTATTTTTTCTGACTCAGTTACTACACACAGTAAAGTATAACTAATATATCTTACTATATTAGAAACAAAACCACACTTAAGAGAAAGCACCACCATTTGCCATGTGACATTTCCACATCATATTTTTAAAATAAATTTTTATTTACACATCAATTTCCTAGACTTAAAAGGAAAATGCAGTCCAAATCCACCACCATCTCCTATTTTTGCCAAAACAAAAAAAAAAAAACATGGCTTCATAAAAAACACAAAACCTCATCTCCAGCTCCACGACAATCGACTCCCTAATTAATCCATTCTCCACAATAAAAATTAAAAAAAAACCAAATTTGTCGTCAATCATCAATTGAGAATATGTGGTGAAATATACTTCTTTCTTATTAGCATGTTCAATTTTTTCATTAGAGATGATCAACTACATCCTAATCAGAAAAAATTTCGAATTCAAAGAATATTCTCTTTACCTCTCTATATAAACACAAAGGAAAAAAAATTCTCATTGATGTTGCTTTCGGCCATTGTGGTGGTACCATTACAGATATTAAAATTTAAATGATTTTATATCCACAGATCATTTGTACGGCTTTTATTATTTTTTGTTTTTCCCGTTCAAGAATAGTGTTATTACTATTATTTTTATGCATCCACCCGTTACAGCTACCATAGCCGTTGCCAGGTAATATGATGTAATTTCTTATATGGTTAGTCAGCTTAGAATTTTTCTATGATTTTAGTTCTGTTTGAATTGAATTGATCAATTGGGTTTTTGTCACAAAGTGTGGTTCTTTTAATTTCTTTTTTATGTTTTATTTATTTAGAGTGGTTTTCCTTTTTTTTAATTATGGAATCTCAGTTTTTTTTCGTATATGATCAGTTATGAATTGTGTTTTTTCTTTGTTTAATTGCTTTTGATTTTATTTCATACTTCCAGTTGACCAATTATTATTATTATTATTATTATTATTATTATTATTATTATTATTATTATTATTGCAAATGAAGCGCGGTTTTTTTTTTTTTGTGTGTTTAGACTTTCAAGAATATATTTTTTTGGATTTAGTTTTTAGACTTTTTTAAATTACTCATCATATAAATGGTTCAGGTCGCTTCTTCTAACTAATTTATGGGGAAGGCTTTTTATGAATTTGAGGTGAAGAGGGAAGGAATGATGTTTCTACGTTTATCTGTGTTTTATACATCATTTTTACCTACAGGAAAAAAAAATTCTCAATTTTTAATGAACTCTGTTACTTATTTTTTTTTATTTGCTATGGTAAGGTGAGTTCTTTTTTGCTATAACTTGAAACCTATGCAAATTTACATTAATTTTCATTCTCATATTTGTGATCAACCAGTTTCAACAATTAATCAGTTTTTAAATCATATTTTTGATATTTTACTAGCTATAAGCCTTAGGAAGAAACAGTTCCAAAAATTAAACGTATACCCTTCGGAGGAAGCTTACTACAAAGCTATTATAAATCTCCAAAACCAAGTATTGATTTGGTACGACATATGGAGAACATCAATAAATCATCTTACTAATATTTAAACTTATTAGGATGCTTTTATATTTTGTCTAACATTTACTTTAAGCGATATACTTGATCAATTTTATTTATATTTAATAAGTAACACTTATAAAATATTTTTAAAATATTCAAACATTTCTAAAACGTACTGGGCCAAATACACTTTCTTTTTTTTTTGCTAAATACAAACATTTCTATGATCACACTTATAAAACATTTCTAAATTCTTCAAACATTTCTAAAATATATCAGGCCAAATGCAAAATATTTTTTTTCAAATACAAACATTTCAAAGATCTACAGATATACTGAGCCAGGGTCGCGCATTGCGCGATCAGACTTCACTAGTATATATATATATATATATATATATATATATATATATAGGGAAATTCTAGAGTCCCGTTATCATTTTTAACTGAACCGTCCCGTTAAAAATTCAACCAATCAGAGTTGAGAGCATACCATTTGGTCATGGAGTGCGAAACATGTGATCAAGTCCACAAAACTTACTAATCAGGTTAATTATTTGTTTGGTTTTTTTAAAGAATTATCTAAATTGAATTGAAATTATCTCAATAGATATAATTGTTAATACAAATAGGAATCCACTTGCTCTTTTCTCGGATAAAATGTCTCTCACCATCCAATCTGTTCTTTTTTTGGGTTCAAAAACTCAATCTTTCTTCTATTTTCACTTTTCTTTTTCTTTTTTGTTAAATGTTTTCATTTTTTCTTTTCATGGTGATCATTTTAAACTGCAATTTTAAAATCATTCTTGCTGCTTCTTTTTCTTTCCCTTTAACTATGGCTCAAACGATAAACCTCCTACCCATCAAAGCAAGAAAAACAAATGATGAATTTTATCTAAATACGAAAACAAGATAAAATTATAACTAAAACTATAATTCTAGAATTTTATATGAGTCGTAAGTCGTAACTAAAGCTGCCGAGAGGCAATACGGTACAAATTGGAGATGGACCCCAAAGGACCCAGTATTCTTCAATCATCAATGCAAGTACGCAAGATTATGTTGAAAGAATTAAAGCTCATCAATAGGGGGTGACTCAAGTTGGGGTTTTGAGGAAGAAATCAAATATGAATTTATTTGTCATTGAAAAATGCCGGAAGCGAATTGCAAACTGAATTGGATTTAAGTAGCCGACCTTACGATGGAAAAAATATTATTTAAATGTTTTGGGTGTTTTTTCTACTGTAGCTTATCAGATGCATTTTTCTTTTTCACATTTAATCCGCATCGAAGCTTAGTTTGGAAGTGAACAAATTGATTTTACTTTGGCATCTGAGTAGCGAACAATTGTCGGAATAAGAAATTAAAGGCAAAGGGTCTTTGCAGAAGCAATCAGTTAGACTAATGGCGGCGTCGACAACCGAGGCGTGGGGGTGGAACTTTGCCTGAAATCCATCAAAATTCCAATGCGCTGCTGCTTGAGCTCGCGCTGGATTGGAGAAACTATGATGTCAGGAATACTCCTATTCGTCCTTACTATCGTTATCTCTAAAATCCTCGCCGGAGTTTTTCGATGCCATGAGGGCAGATTTCCTCTGGATATCATATGATTCACTAGAGATATTATTTAAAGTCGTTGGGTGGTGATGTTTTTTTTTTGTTGCCTCCGGTGGTAAATCTTTATGTTTATGAGACCACTTTTCCTTTTTTTCCCCAGTAATTAATGAGGTTCGAGATTCTTTTCTTATAATCAGGTGGAATTAGATATATCTCCTTACGATACACTCTCTTTCTAATCCAACAGTTGTTAATTGTTCTAATTGATCTTACGGTTATTAACTTATGACGGAATCGTCCCGTAACGGGACTCTAGACGCTCCCATATATATATATATATTAGGAAAAATCTAGAGTTCCATTGGCCATTTTTACAGAACCATCCTGTTTTTTCTTCAACCAATCAGAATTAAGAGTGTAACATGTATTCATGAAGTAACATAACATATCCCAAATTAATTTTCATTTAAAAGTTTGAAAAGAAAATCACTATAACCTGCTAACCAAGGTTGTTTACATAGATAAAATTACAACCATCACCATCCAATTAGGGTTGTTCTTTTGAAGAAAACCGACCCGAACCGAATCGTTACTTTGGTTCGGTTCAGAAACGGGTCAATTTCTTTTGGATCACAAATGGTTTCGGTTCAGTTCGGTTCGGGTTAAATTTCGGATCTAAATTGAATTGACCCGAAATGAACCATTTTGCTAGCGATGATGTTATCAAAAGTGATGATGATGTCATCACGCCGGAGACGGTCACCGACCGCCAGAAAAAAACAAAATTCCGGCGAAGGCCGGAAGTTATCGCCGACGGCGACCGGCGGCGGTGGTCAACGTTGGTCAGCGGCGATCAACAACGACATTATTAAAATATAATTATTTACCTTTTGGTTTTGGATTTTTTCGGTTCAATTTTGATATTTTTGGACTTGAACCGTTCTAACTTTTAAAATCTTCAATCCGAACCGATCCGAACCGAAATTCTAATTTCGGTTCGATTTTGGGTCGGTTCGGTTCGGATTGTCGGGTCGACTCGAACCGCGGTCAATCACCACCTTAGTCCCATCACTATTTTTTGGCCATAAGTTTTCCCTGGTGCCGAAATTCACTTAATCGCTATTAATTTCCTTGAGTATAAATAAGAGGTTTTTACCCACTTTCAAATTAAGGGTTAAGCCAGGATCAATTTTAATTCGAATTAGGGATCCACTGAAAATTCAAGGTATTGAGTACAGGAATCCACTAAAGAGCAATTTGACAGATTCATCGTCATAAAAAGGAGCATAATCAAGGATCAATTTGTTCAAATTGGGAAAGTTGACAATGGGAACCTTGAGGGAAAAATTACTATTTTTTTTTTCTTGAATCAAAACTACTAATATATTACCATCCAACCAAAATTTAGAAACAAGTTTATCTATCATTATGTTGTTCTATCATGGATTTCTGACACAAAGTACCCAAAATCATAACAATTTGATCATATGCTAAAAGAAGTAGACAAAACCAAGATTAGACAAAACCGAGGTTACAAAAACAAGTTTTAAGCAGGTAACATTCCCACTGTTTACTTGAAGCACGTGGCATCAAGTAGTAGAGCTTCACCCTCGAAAGGCTCAGCATCCTCAATTATCTGATTCACACGCACTTTCTGTGCTTCATCGTTGATGTCAACCTCCTTCCACTCATGCAACTCGATGTCGCAACACTCATCGAGCACGAATTTTGGGATCTCTTTACCACGGAAAAGCCACAAACCCTTGACTTTGAATGGAGGCTCTAAACAAATCACCAACATCTTCCCAAATGCATATTTGCAAGTCATGATAACATCAGCCAATGTGACAGTGTCTCCAACCAAGAAAGTGCGAGATGGGTATTCAAAGCCCCAAGTGCCCTTTTCAAAGCAAAGATTGCAGCTTCCTCAGCCGGAGGAAGGTAAACTTGATAACCAAGCCGGGGATATAGCCATCGACCTATGTTAGCATCAATCTCAGTGGTAGTAAAATCAATCCATTGTTTAATTTGGCCCTGTTTAGCAAATGCATTAAAGCACAAGCAAGATACTAGTTAGAAATATGCTCATCCGGAAGGTAACAGATGATGCTGAACTTTAAAAAAATAAAGGGAGCAAATACGTAATCCATCATGCTTACATATTCAATGAGAGTTGAGCCAAAAAGCGGATTATCAACCTTCAACTTTGTAATTGTAGCAAGTTAAAATGAATGAGAAAAAGAATAACCAGCAGCTTCAAATTAAATCAAAACGTCTTAAAGGAGAAAGCAAAGAAGAAACTCACCATAACCAGCAGTATTACTCTCGAACACAGGCCCCTCTGGGGTTTCAAGAACAGGAATCTAAAAGAGCATTGATTCTATAATATACCTTCCAAAGGGGATTCATTTTCAGGAACTTGGGAGTCTTGTTGGTAACTCTCATCTGAAAATCCTTTGTCAACTCTACTTTGACATCACTGTACTCTGCAGCAATTAATGCTTTGAAAACATTTTTGTTTCCACTCATCGCGTGAATTGTCAAACCCATGGCGCCCAGCTTTTGAGCTTAGGGATCCAAAATGGAGCTATCCGCTAGCGAGAGGAGGAAGAAAGAGTGCTAGGGAAAGGTTACTATCCAAATAAACCTCCAATAAGCTAGTGCATCAATTAAGACTTGCAACTAAGTTACTAGAATTTCTGATTGAGGTTTCTAGACAAACACTTTAGAGACCAAGCATGACAGCACCATGAAGACACAAACATATGCAATCATCTGTGTACTTTTTCTGATAGTCGAGTTTGAATTTACAAATACTAGCGTTATTTTGGAGCAAACTCTTCAAAACCCCGCCAACAAAATCAATAAAACTACTTTCATGCTCAAAACATTTCCTCGGATTCATCTGCCATATCTGTATCTTTTTACATCTGAACCAACCACCTGAACAAAAATTGAACGGGTTATTCAACTCATTACTCTCAAACCTAAAATTAAACATATGAAAGCTCCATAATCGACAGCCATGGAAAGATCGAACAGATTGTGATTGAGATTGTAATTGGCGAGTTTGGGCGGCCGTAAAGAGGAGAGTGAAAAGAAGACGATAAAGAGGTATAATAAGGTGGATTTAGTTTTATTTATTTAGGATATACCATATTTCTAATCCTTCTATTGTTATTTAGTTTGATTGATACTATGGTTATCAACCTATGACAGAGCCATCCCGTAACGGGACTCTAACCGCTCCCTATATATATATATGAAAAGGGGGCGATTTTGCCAGAACAATTTCTAGCATCCAGGACAATTATTTACCTTTCTTCCACTTTTACCCATCATGAAGTCAAACACACTTAATCTTTCTCACCGCATATCTCTCACTTATTTCCTTTATTAAAAATTTTATTCTCTCTCCTCCCCCTCCAAACATCGTTCTGTTTTCCGGGAAGATTTTACCCCCTCCCCCCTCACCGAACACTTAGCCCAATCAGACAACAAAGTACAAATCCCTTCCCTCACCAGTCCGCGCGAGTCTTGCACCAGCGGCGACAGGGAAAATAATCAAAGGTAGGCCATGAACGGGTTTAGAGATCCATCGATTTAGTCGAGGTTAGGGATTGGGAGCTGTAGAGTACCTTTTGGAAATTTTACGGGAGAGTATATTCTGATCATAACTGAGTCTGAGATCGTAATTTTTTTGCTCGAATCTGATAAGGTAAATCAGCAATTTGATCAATTCTGATTGATGAGTGGAATTGAAGGATGAACTTGGATATTTTAGTGATGTTGTGGCATGAACAAGATTTTGTGGAAACTTATATCAGTGATTTAGTGATGAAATTTATGGTGTTTGATGACTTTGTTTTTAAAATTTTTTATCGTTTTTTTTCTTAAATTTTTTTCTTTTGCTTATTCAAAAACTAATTTCCATGTTTGTTTGAGAGGTTCTTGCGTTAGTAACAAGCTGAAATCTGATCATCTCTATTCGTGAAAAACTAATTTTAGTCAATGTAAGATCAAGCCTTAGTATGGATAAGTAAACTATGCAATGATTTAACTCCTGTTATGTTGTTAAGTGCTTCAGCAAATAGTGTTTTCCTTAGGATTTGAGATTTAGTTTTGCGTTGCTAGCTTAGCTGACTTTGGCCTTTTGAAGTTGTATTAAGAATGAACAACATAAATGGTCTAAATTTGAGAGGCAAGCTGAGTCAAATGCTTCTTGTGCAGTTTTGTTTTGCGAATAGTGTAGACTTTTATCTATTTTCTTTGGCTTTCCTTTTCCCTGTATTTGAGTACCATTTTAGAGATCTTTCTACCTGCTTGTTTGATAACAATCTGCTACTCTTATCAAATTCACGGTTAAGAGAAGCCATTCTTGCATCTTCTCTATTTTTAGCAGATGACAACAATCAGCCATTTGTATCAAATTTATCGTTAGGAGACGTCATTCTTGATTCTTGCGTGTTCTATAATTTGAGCAGATAACTCCTATTTTGTGGGAGTGCTACTTAGCAGCTTGGGTTTTCATTGTTAGCTGCCTGCTCAAAGATTTTGCTGCTACTAGCAGGAATCTGGAACAAATCTGTTGCCATTGTCAAACGCACGCTAAGAAAGCTCCTTTCCAAGCTAAGGCTTACAAGAGAAAGGTTGAGTACGAGAAGGAGGCATACAACAAGAAACTTGCTGATGGTCCTGGTCCTGTTGATGAAGAATCTGACAAGTCAAGGTCTGAAGTGAATGATGACGAGGACGATGATGAATTCAGCGGAGAGGAGAAGGATGATGAGTAAAGGAAGCTGTGTAGTATATGGAACGACCAGTTGACCCCATTCGTTCCCATTGGATTTAGTTTCTTTTTATATTGTGAATTTGAAGGTAGTTGGGAAGGAAGAATAGAAGAAAACTTTAGTAGTTTCAGTAGCTGTGGTTGTTAAAGCTCACTTGGTATTGCACATTGTACTTTTGAAATCCCATTGGGAATAGATCCTTGACTTTATTGTACATATGATTGAAAGCAATGAAAATGAGTTCAGCAACTGTGATTGCAACTGGTAGATGAATTGCAGCATTAGCCGAAGTATTTGTTGCACAAAAGAAATTTATTTCGTTGCGGGAAAAAAATGAAACTGCAGAAAGTTAACAGAGACTACCAGTGTAACTAAATATTGACCCTTTACGAGATTAAAAATCCAGAGAAACAATATGTGAAACAGTAGAAAGTATATCAAACGAATCTGTAGAGCACAATACAATCATCCAAATTATTAGAATTACGTCAAAGTGTTTGATGACTGATGAATGAATTGCACGGACATGATCCATAAAAATTAATGAATGAACTCATAAGAGACAAGCAGCTATTTTGTTGTAACTTTGTAACATTAAACACCAGAAATTTGAGTTTGTTTTCTAACTACAATCTCAGAGTTCACCATTCACCAAAAGCATTGCAGTACCACCACCTTCATTTATCTCAGCCCGACATGACAACCAGCTTTAGCAGCTTGCATGTAACACCAATCAACTGCAAGGCCAAATTGTAGTTGCAGATCAACGTGAAACAACCTTTCATAACAGAGAGTGAAACATGATTAAATTACTTGCATAGATGTAAAAACAAACTAAAGTAAAGAACCTTAATTAGTAGAAGTCAAATTCGAGTACAAACTATTTCACTAATCATACTTTAAAATAGGGAAAGCCCAACCGGAAAATAAGAATCCAATAGCAAAAGGTGAAGAAGACATCAAGTCTCTACTCATTCAATTGCCAAACATCAAACTAATGAAGCCAAAGATCAAAGGTGTCTTGATGCAATTTTGGTAATCAAATACTAATCAATACATATCTTGATCGTGATCCCAAAAAGAAACGAAAAACATGTTGCACAAGCAAAGCCACAAAATCCATCAATTATAAGAAAAAGGATCATGCTTTAAAAAAAAAAAAAAAAAGTCACCAACCACTTGTTATAACATCTTTGACTAGGCAAGCTAAATTCGATATATCATACGAACAAAATTTCACAACCCGTGCTGAAAACCCGCAGTACACAATAAGATGGAAAACTGAATGGTTCGACTAAACTTGTTTTCTTTTTGTTTCACTTTGGACTAGGTTATCGGAGAAATTACACTCAGAAAAAAAAAATCAAACACTTAAGATACATCAATTTATCAATCACATTTTAATCACCAAGAATACAAGAAGTAACGGTCATAGGAAACTTACTTGAAGAAAAATCGGTGAATAATTAGATGAAGAAACATAGAAATCAATCCACCTTCAGTTTTTTTTGTTTTCTTGTTCTGGCCAAGATGTTGGAAACAAATAAAGAAGATTTTCGCTCACGATGAGCACACTAGTTATTTATTCTAATTTCTATTATTGTGTTACCTGATTTTTGGAGGGAGAGACTCTTCATAATTTTGGAGGGAAATTGATCTCCGGATAAGTGAGAAAGCGTTGATAGAGGGAGAAAGGGATAAGTGAGAAAGCGTTGATAGAGGGAGGAAGGGAATAAAACGATTAATTGGGGAGAGATATGCGGTGAGGAAGATTAAGTGAGTTTGACTTCGTGATGGGCAAAAGTGGAAAAAAGGTAAAAAATTGTCCTTGATGCTAGAAATTGTTTTGGCAAAATCACTCCACATATGAAAAATTTTATGGTGCAGTCATAAGTTTTGGAATGAACCATGCAGTTAAAATTTATCCAATAAAAGTGGACCACACCATATGTAATTATGAGGTGCGCAACACCGTAATTAAAAACCGTTTTACTTATTGACCCGTCAAGAATTAGATAAGTTATTGCAGACAAAATAAAATTAATTCCATAAACTCTGCAACAAGTTGCATTGCAGAATCGTGAAGAAGTTTTAGTCTTTGGTTCCCCAAGAATCCAAGGATAAGATCATCGATATTAATATGTCGTTGGCATGGGTGTGTTGCCAGAAAACAAGCCGATGTCGTTAAGGCTAAGTGTAATTTGAAGATTGCAACAAAAGAAAATAACAAAGGCTGCGGTGCTATCATATTGTTTACTGGTTAGCAGAAAAAACATTGGCTTTTATCTCTATTTGGTATTTTGGATGTTGGATTTTTGTTTCAGAGGAATCTTTCTTGGAGGAGAAATTTTAATAATTTTTCCTAGTAAAAAGAAAGAGAAAAACTCGAATCGGACCAGCAAGTTCTCTCCGGATTCACACTGTTGAGGAGAGTCTTTGTAACTTTTGTAGACCGGACAAAGATAAACTTGTTCTTGCTTCTTAATGTAATTTGTCTCGAATTTATAGTGTTGATAGCAAAGTTCCAAAGGGGAATGTTCACAATAACATTCTTGTGGACAATTCCTATGTAATAATCATGAAACGAGTTCAACGTTAATTTTTCTGCATATCCATATTAGTTCCTTCATGCTCTAGATTTGGTGTATTATTAAAATCCGTAATTTGAAAAAAACAAGTTGAGCCACCAGAACCGAAATTGAGTTCCGGAATGCCTTTTAATTAACCATACTGGATCCTCCAACTTATAAACACTTCCAATTTTCCATCTGCTTTGAAAAAGTTCTTTTTCGATTCCTTGTTTTGAAGGGTCGACCTTCCTTGTTCCCTCTTGTTTTGAAGGGTCATTGATAAGCCACATGGTTTCTTTTATCCTTGGTGCTTGTGGAGCTTTATGTTCTAATGATTTTTTTTTTTATCTTCTCTTTGAATTAACCATTTCCAGATTTGTCTCTTAATCTCATCGTCGAAAAGAGTAGAAGTTAGAACAATCTCTTCAGTAGACATAAAAAACATATAATTGATAGCTTTGGAAATCGTTGTCTTCTCCCACTGCATTTGCAATTATCGATCACCGATTCGTATCAATTGATTGATAAGGGAGTGTTCGTGGCTTGCGTTCGTCATCGTTAATATATAACTCCCTGTCTTGCTGGGTTTTTGGTTTGAATAGTGAATCAGAATAGAAAAAGAACAAGAAAATTATAGGAACATAATAGTATTTGCTATCTAACTTAATTATCAATCTGTGTCATACTAGTGACTGTTCTCTATGTTATGAATCGCATCTTTGTTGACGCAACTTTGTTTTATTAAAAGGAATGTTGGCGTATATAAAATTTTAGGCAGAAAAGTAATGAATAATCTATGAAAATTATCCAGTGTTTTTAGGCTTTGTTTCTTTTATTATACATCATAGTTAATCCAACGGTGATGATGATTCTTTCTCATTCACCGACTATAATTACTGATTGAACTATTCAGTTGACTGAACCGTAATCGCTCCCTATTTGAATTATATCCATACTATATTAGAAACAAAAACCTTCCTTTCAAACACCTCATATGATTGCCACGTGGCATGTAAAAAGTACTAAATTGCCCTTTTGTCTAACCATAACTAAATTACTAAATTTCTCTTTGCACTTTACGTGACACGTTTTTTTTTATTTTATTTTTTCTTTATGTTTCATTCAACTAGAGTAGTTTTTTAAATTGAATTGATCAATTAGGTTTTTGTTACAAAGTGTCAACTTTGTTTTAAGCGTATACCCTTTGGATGAAGCTTATTACAGAATTATTAAAAATCTCCAAAACTAAGTATTGATTTGGCACGACCAATGAAGAACATCAATAAATCATCTTAATAATATTTAAATTTATTAGGATACTTTTATATTTTATCTAATATTTACTTCAACACATTTATTCGATTAAGGCTATTTATATTTAATAAGTAACACTTATAAAACATTTCTAAAACATACATGGCGAAATACAATTTCTTTTTTTTTTTGTGAAATACAAATATTTCTATGATCACACTTATAAAACATTTGTAAATCCTTCAAACATTTCTAAAATATATCGCTACAAATACAAAATTTTAAATATAAATATTTCTAAGATCTACAGATAGACTGGGCCAGGGTCGCGCATTGCGCGACCAGACATCACTAGTATATATATAAGGACTCAAGAGCTTTGTCACGACATCTAATTGAATTATTCCAATTCTTTTACTTATTTTTTTTAATACAGATTAGAAGTAAATAATTTATTACAATAGGGGGTTTACTGGGGAAGATGATGCACGGGAAGACTCATCTCTTTCCGCTAAAATTTAATATATTAAATAGCTATGAATTTACCAATTGTCACTAACATATAGAGTGTTACCATTTACTTCCCTAATATTTTCCACCTTATGCTTTACGAAAAAAACTAGATTCTAAGAGGGAAGGCAAATATTTATTTGAGGTGGACTAGTCCTAGTCACGACCGTCCTAATAATAAAAAATAATTTCTCTAAATAAAAATTCTATTAATTAAATAATGGTTTGTCCGGGCTCCATCTCGTACTAGTAAAAATAAATGAAGATATACACAATCAATAAAACAATAACATTCTATTTTTTTTTTCCATGTAAGCATGAGTATATGTACGTCCGATAAATAATACATTTGGAACTAAAAATTTAAAAAGAACTTTGAATATTTAGTAAAATTTGAATTACATATCAAACCTCTTATAAAAAGAAATGGAGGGGAGTACTTTGTTTGCTTAATGCCGTAATATATAGTCGATCCGCCCTTGCCCGCAATGCCCTTCTTCTGCCAACCAGAGGGGGGCGGAGGAGGAAAGAAGAGAGAATATGAATGCAGTAAATTAATGAATTAAGAAAATAAAATAACTATGCAAGTCATTACAATTAGTTTAGAATGAATAACTACTTTCGAAATTTGATTTTTGTCGGGAAGACGGAACACGTTCTTTGTGGTTA